GATTGTTGTACTGAAGTATTAATGTTAAATATCAATAAGATTTAACAGCAATAGAAACATAATTTTATTTCATACATTCTGCAAGATAAACAAGTACATACACTTATTACAACCACATTACGGAAACAAAACACTACGTGTATCCTTGATAGTTGGGCACATTAGATGAACTTCCACCAGGAGTTGGATTACCACTGCCACTTAAACCAGCTGAAGGACATTTACGATGTTCGTGTCCTGTTTGCGAGCGTATGCCACATTTGCGCGCATAAACGGTATCACCAACATCCATTTGGTTCCGTATTGGCGTTCTTTTTTGCACTTGTCGTTGACGTACATAGTTCTTATTACACATCATTTTAAATGGTTCCGACGGCCAATAATGCTCAGCACCCACTGGCTGCAACTGTCCACTATAGGTGTTTAAGTATGCATCAACACTATATTTCTTATAACGCGCAGTTGGTTAGCCCTAAACTTGTATATTGAAAGCACTTGATGGCATGTGATCACGGCATGTGGTAGATGGACCATTTCTCACAAGAGTATAACTTTCTGGCTTTATTTACAGTGTGTGTATTATTTTCCCGATTTTGATGGATAGCGATGCGAACTTCAAAAATATTTCGCTCGTTGCAATACTGTAAAGATGAATGCCAATGTGCTCGCCGCCTGTATTTATCAAATCTTTTCATTGGTATTGGCATAAATTCACACCCATTTCCCTCAATAATGATGCACCTCTAGCCCTTTCAACAAATCTCTCCGCCATCTGCTTGAATGACATTCGCATTATGGCAGTGACATACAATCCACGTGCAGACTTCAATAATCCGTTGAAATACTCTAACATATTTGTAGTCAGAATTTCCCATCTTCTGCCACCATCCGCATGCAAATTCTACCTGTCAAGCTTATGTCGTATCAACCAACGATAGGCTCCCTCGTCTTCCTGCCTGATAGATTCCATGCGCCTCTTAAATTTACACTCTTGGTGATCTGTTGCAGCCATCCACATTAAATCATGCAAATCCTTATTGGGATATGCCTTCTGGAAATTGGCCTTCAGGTGCCTCATACAGTAACGGTGGTAGGCATACGGTTCCTACCATGCACGTAAATTCTGTACAGAACTTAAAATACCACCATGCCAATCAGATATTAGACAAATACCTGAACGTTGTTTGATAACGTGCTCTTTCAAGTGGTTCAAAAATATAGTCCACGTCTCTTAGCTTTCATTGGCACAAATAGCAAAAGCTAAGGGAAATATACTTTCATTAGCATCTACTGCAATGACGATCAACAACTTAATATCATACTTTTCATATACATGAGTGACGTCTATGGATATTACCGGCCGATAATGCAAAAAACCATCAATTGCTGGTTTAAATGGCCAGAACACATATTTGAATATATGTTCTGGTATTCCCGGACTCCGCTCAAGCTTCCATTCAACAACAGTTCCGGGGTTAAAGTGTTGCAATGCAGCCATGTACCTGGGTAGAGATGCAAATAACTTATCCCAGTTACCATAAACAATTTCAAACGCACGTTTGCGCCCGAGAAATACCTTTCTTTTGATAATGGTGCACCTATATTCCTGGTGGACGGATGTTATATACTCTTTGATCTTGTACCTTATGGATGCTTTAATGTGTGGAATCAAGACAAGAAAAATCAAGTCAGCATTCAAGTTAAAATGATTCCCACTGAATGTGTCTATTTCACAATTGTGGGTGCCAATGTATTTACCCACAACCCACATATTTATTTTCTTCTTCCTCGCACGCAACATCCAATTACAATCTGTAAATCATCTACGACAGACTACCTTGTATACATCAGGGGATGACTCGCGTACCGTGATCTCACGATACTCTTTTACGCTGTACATTAGCACAGCCCTGATTAGGCGCGCTTTATCGGGAAAAAGAATACTCTTTGACAGCACTGTTGCTCTAGATTCATCCCACGTTATTGTGTGAATTTCGTCAATATCCCTTGTGAGGGAATCCACATCCGGCATACTTGGCAAATGATCAAGATAGGGAATCTCCCTTGAATGAAATGGCACGTTGGACTCGTACACTCTTGGTCTAATGGGGGTGGATCATGCTCCCTCGTCAAACCAGGTCCAGCATTTTCTTCCTTCTCATCATCACCCTCATCAGGGAAGGGTGTGTCATCTCCAGACTCATCGGCATTGTTGTCATAATCACTATTCTCTTCCTGACTCTGTGCATCTGCCAGATCTTGATTAAATATGTTATCTTCGGGCAATTGAGTAAGGACAGGACCTTCAGGATGCTCGTTTTCACTGCACAACCAACAAAATAATGAGTTACTCAAATTGATAAATACTTTACATATAGCTATATCACTTCACTTACAAATCGTAATGTGTTGACATCCCATGATAGATATTATCCTGTTGGTGATGACTCCCGGATGGACCACCATGATCCAACACACCAGAACTAGGCATATTCCAACTGGGCGTTGGTTCATAACTTGTAAAATTCATATCTGGCCGATACCCCCTGTGAAATATATGAGTGTTAATACAAATTCAATACAGCAAAAATAAACATCGTAACACAAAGAAAAATTGAAGTTTACCACTCGTCTTGTGGATTATGTAAACTAGGAGATAAATTATTTCCTCGCTCCTCATTCGCCCATGGAGATAAGTTTAGATCAGGCCAAACTCTTTCAGCCGGAACCTGTTCAGCTAAAACTGCTCCAAAATAACCGCCCGATGACTGAGGGATATCCCTGCTTTGCGCAACCTCATTATTGCGAACGTCTTCAACCTTGACATACATTTCTAACATTTTTATCACAAGAAATTCCCGATATTCATCCGGAGTCCTCAAAAAATCTCTCAGAGTTTCATCGTCCTCGATGTTAAACTCAGCATAACAAGCAACCTCTTGCGGAGTGACAGAATACAGATATCTTCCGTTTACTTTAAGGTTCACCGAATGTTTGCTCACACTCATTTTTTTACATAACAATAATACCAATTTATCGTACTCCATTATAAGTGGCAACTTAACATGACACTGTGGAGATAAACTATAGGTTAATGAGTTATTCGCCACTACAACCTCACCTCCCCAATATAATGAAACCCTTACTTTTGCTCTTCAGACATTATGACAAAATACAAAACAACTTAACAAAGAAATATTTTAGAAGACTTGAGAATATTTATGAATGGATTTTAAAAAAATTCTTAACCTCCTTAAATAGGGCAAAAACCAGTCCGGGGTACAATTTGTTTAGGTATAACGCCTTAAATAAGGGCGTTATACCCAGTTGAATTATTGTTATGTCAGTTAAGCCTAGAAGAATTATCTGTGGACCCATAAAATATGTATAGCGCGGTAATAAAAGGCGCTATACCTCCCGTCTTTTCAAATTCACGTATAACGCTCTTTTAAAGGGCGCTATACCTTAACGGGCAAACGACCGTTAAGGTATAGCGCCCTTTAAAAGGGCGTGATACATATTTTGGTTACCATCTCTTTTTTTCACATATTTCGATCGTTTAAGTCCAAAAAAATCACATTTTGATTCCGAACAATGATATTGTCTACCTATCCTATCATCAATTGCCAATGTCGCAAAGGCCCTTTTCTGCTAGATAAGTGGCAGGTGCTCAAAAAAAAAAAAAAATGGTAGATGCCTAGTATTTGGACTAGGTATGACAAAGCTAATTTTTTGTTAGTTAAATTGTATAGAAAGAGAAGGGAGATGTAGGGTGTGTTTGGTATGAAGGAAAATATTTTTCGGAAAATATTTTCTAATTTTCTCATGTTTGGTTGGTTTAAATGTTTTGAAAAATATTTTCCTACTAAGAGAAGGGAAAACATTTCCCAAAACTCTTTTTCAACCTTCCCCACCATATTCTCCATCCTCACAACCCACCCCACACACCCACCTATCCACCCCAACCCTCCGCCCCACCCTCACCCTAAATAAAAATATTATTAATAATACTTTCTTTTCATGTTATAGATAGATTTTTTTTTCATTTCAACAAATGAGTATTTTTTTTTCATGATATAAAAAATATTTTTTTTTATTTTAACAAAAAAAGTACTTTTTTTTATGATGTAGAAAAAGTACTTTTTTTTATGATGTAGAAAAAGTATTTTCTTTCATTTCAACAAAATGAGTATTTTCTTTTCATGATTTAGAAAAAGTATTTTCTTTCGTTTCAAAAAAAAAAGTATTCTCTTTTCATGACAGAAAAATATTTTTTTTTCAACAAAATGAGTATTTTCTTTTCTTGATGCAGAAAAAGTATTTTTTTTATTTCAGTAAAATGATTACTTTATTTTCATGTTGTACAAAGAGTATTTTCTTTTTCAACCAAAAAGAGTATTTTTTTTTTATAGTTATGGAGCATAAATTTCAACGTTGTTTTGCATAAAAAAGTAAAGCAACACATTAGTTCCTTTGGATTTGTGTAAATTTTTAAAAGAATAATTAAATTGTTGAAAAAAATAGTCTTGAAAATGAGGAAACATGGGGATTTGGGGGAAGGGGTGGGGAGAGTAGCATAAAAAAATATTTTATACTCTCTAATCAAACACTAAAAAATATTTTCCGGAAAAAGTTTTTCACTCACCAACCAAACAAAGGAAAATAAGGGATAAAACCACTAATTTTCCATGAAAACATTTTCCTTTGTACCAAACACACCCGTAAATCGTAATCTGCATATTTTTTGTCCATAGGATCCCATGGTTGCAATAACGTTAATCTATCTTGCTGTACTCTGAAGTAAGGCATAGATTTTGTGATGCAGTAATATATCACACAGCCCATACTCATGCTGGGAAAGCTTTATGTAAAATATATAAAATAAAAACATAGCTTATTTCAAATGCATGATGAAGTTATCACGTTCGCGTTCATAAAGATTTATCAGAAACCATTCCATACATGTACTAAGATGTTTATCAAAGTCAAGTCCCACTAAATTCATACAATTGAAGAGTAACATAACCAATCTAACTTCAGTTTTTCCATGATAATTACAAGAAAAGTTTCTTCTTTGCTAGTCAAGAAAAGAACAAGTACATAGCACAAGAAATGCTACTACGTACTATTGCAAAGGATCCCTGAAAAATAAATCCAGATGCAATATTTCAAGGTAGGAGTTTCAAAGACAACATGATGAAATAATTCAAGCACACAACAATATATAAATATCAGATGGAGTCCTACACGTTACTGCTCCAGATGCTGCTGGCTCGTAGGGGAGGATAGTTCCCTCTCACAACCAAAGTTATCATCCTCCGGTTCACTCCAATTTACATTATTAGAGCTATTGTTGATACTAGGCTCGGAACTAGTAGTGCTGCTCGTGGCAAGTGGCGAGTCAGAAACGCTACCTGTCTTGTTCTTTGTGGAGCTAGACCGGATACCATTTGCTGAAGAAGATGAGACCCTTGTCAGAACTGGGCGTAAGGTTCCATTAACACTTCGTCTTATATCCTGTTCAAAAGAGATCCATAAACGTAAATGTATGAAATAGAATGTGTCACAATGCTTGTGATGTAGGTTTGCTTACCAAGTGCATTAGTAGTTAACTTTTTAAATTTGAATATTTATTGAAATTAAACGAGCATTTAGAAGGAAGTACCATGTGCCGTAGAGCCATATCCAAAGATTTTTTGGAAAATGATCTTCCGAAGCCTGAATTTTCCCGGGACAAAGATTTCTTGGAGGGGTTTTCCTGATATGGATTATCATCTTGCTTGGGGGGAGCTAACTTCCTCATGTTTACTACCCTTTCAACCATCTGTGTGCCGATCAACACAGGGTTCACATCATCTTTCTCATAACCATGTCCCCTACTCTTGGACAGTAGAGTGGTTGCATTGCTCAAAATAGTAGCATTTGTTGCTCGTCCTCTAGAAGGAGAACATGATTTCCGCCTGGGTTTTCCATCAGAACTTGAATTAGTGGTAGAGGGTCGAGCAGCAGGTGCAGTCGGTCTTCCCCTAGATGCAGATGCAGGCCTTTTAGGCACCAATGTCTTAGAATTGATAGAAGAATCACGCGACAGACTTGGCGTCTCCAAGGGTTTCAATGGCCTAGACTTCACAGTTGGAGAGGTACCTCGTAATGGTGCAGTTTTTTTGGAGATTGTGGTTCCCGCTTTTGTCAGCAAAGAAGATCGAGCCCCAGAAACCGATACAATAGGAATGGATGATGGAGTTGATGGTCGACGAGTTGGCGTTGCTGACCTTGATGCTGACTTGGAGGCAGCTGGTTTGGAGGGTCTACTGGTTGGGGTAGAAGAGCGTGGAGCAGCTCTTGTTGGAGTCGAGGATCTTGCTGTGGAAGCAACAGGCTTAACAGAAGGCAATGTTGCTCTTGAAGTAGGAGTGGAAGCTCTTGAGGGCTTGGATGCAGAAATACGAGGACGTCCAGTAGGCGTAGCTGACCTTGTGGACGTTGCCTTTTTACCCCCTGATGATGAAGGCCTTCCATTTCCAGGACAAGAGTTTTTGCTTCTGGACACGGCCGGCAATCCAGTTGAATTACTCTGCGAAGAGGGTCCTTCGAGGGAATTCTCAGGCTGCAAATATAACCGTAACAGCATGCTAAATAGAGAAGGCAGAAAATTTCTTCAACTGAAAACATTGTATCAGCATTCTGTGGTACTAAAATGAGTATAATACCGTGAAAGCATTCACTGGCACTAAAATGAGTATATTATCGTACAAGCATTCAGTAACCATGTGAATCTAATATTGCATTGATGATTCACTCAGTTTTCTACCATGTAGTTCAAATGTAAGAGTTAAGAGAAGGAAAAAAAAGTCTTCTTCTTTCGTTGTCCCAGAATGTTTTTAAAAACAAATATAGGGATTTTTAATGTCAGCCATCCAAATTATCTACTAAAAAATTAGATAGGATTACGTCGACTTTGTCAACTGCTAATGAAAGAACCAAACGGGTATATACCAATACCTATCACGGGTAAAAAGATGGAGATCAAAAGAAACAACACTAGCAGTGCAGAATCAAAAGTAAAATCCTTCAGGGTATTAATTAGCTTGTATCCATACACTATAATGAGTATATTGTACCTGAGCTAAATCCTGCTCGAATCTTATTTTAGATTCTGGAGCAGTTGTACTTGAATCTGTCTCAATTTTACAGTCTTGAGCAGTTGAATTAGAATCTATCGCATTCTGGAGTACTGCAATATTCTGTTCTTCCACCTCTAGCGATAGATTTGAAGGGGTATGAGGCAGTGAAAGGAGCCTGAAAACCAATTAGTAGATAATATAATAATGTACTATGGCAGAACCGTCATGGAGCACCCGTCATGGAGCACTGTTTCGTGAAACAAAATATACAGCCATGGTTATATTATACTACGACTAACAGCCTTAAACCAAATTCTTGTACAGAAGTCTGACCTCTAAAATCATATTGACCATTTAACCAGACTGTTAAACTTTGGAGACTAACCTTCTTTTTGTTGAAGACATGGAAGCAGAATCAATAGAATCGCACATGATTTCTTTTTGCTATCTAAGGTCTCAAGTGCTTTGGCTAAAATTTACCAACAGATAATGGTCCTACAGCGCACAAAATAAATGAGCAGAATCTTTGTTTAGAAGATGTATTGAGACCAAATTCTAAACACTCATCAGACAGGACAAGGAACTGCATCGCCCATATACATAGTCATCTAGTTCTCATGTGAAGAAGAATTGAGGATGAAGAACTCCTACAACAACAACAACTACGCCTCAATTCCAAGCAAGTTGAAGTTCGCTATATGTATCCTCACTGACCATATAAACTCATCTCAAACCAATAATATACAGTGAGCAGAATAACTAGAAACTTCAAATAAATATTCACTACCAATTATTTTTCTTATCAGAATATTCACTACCAATTATTTCCTTTTAAAGTATTTGACTATCAAAGTTCCACAAAAATCGAAAACTGAAGGCTACAAACAATGACGATGCTCGAGTCAAAATTACATCATATAGCATTTCCCTTCTTAGATTACATTATTCTTTTCGATTAACAACTGGCTTAGAGCACAACGACTGAATATGGATGCAATTAAAGACAATTTTTATACAACTACCACGAAACATTGCTGTTAAACACTGTTTGCCTTAGGAACGCTAGAAACGCTATCACCTCGTGACACACTAGACATTTTGAACTCCCAAATAAAATGCCACTTACATACTGTCTGTCCAATAAATTGTTAGATGCTGCATAAGCTATTCAGTTACTTCATTTTGCTCAAAAAAATAAATAACAATTAGTTACCTCCCGCTCTTTATTTCCCCTCCTCTTGTGTTAGTTATACTCTTGTGTAGTTATACTGTTGCCGTATTGGTACGTCTAGTTTAGTCATTCCAGTAGAGTGCCACTAGATACTACTTTTTGCTTAGAGTTGGACCGTTGCTGATTGTGTTAGCGTTTTCCCTAGGCTACCGTTCGTCCAGTGGCTGGGGTCTGTAATGGTGGAGTAAGGGCATGTCCTCGGGGTGGGCGGGGGAGAAGGCAGGAGATAGGGGAAGTGACGAGGCCAAAAGAGGTAAGGGGATCAAGGGAGCCTATAGGTTGAGAATTGGATCGTGGAACATAGGAACATTGACGGGTAAGTCTATAGAGTTGGCGAAGATTCTCCAGAAGAGGAAGATCAATATAGCTTGTGTTCAGGAGACTGGATGGGTAGGGTCGAGGGCGAGGAATGCGGACGGGTATAAACTAGGTACTCGGGAGGCAGGAAAGGTAAGAACGTAGTGGGTATTTTGATGGATAGGGAACTTAGAGAGTCAGTGGTAGAGGTCAGGAGGGTGAACGATAAATTAATGTCGATTAAGTTAGTAGTTGGTGGGATCACTCTGAATGTTATTAGCGCATATGCGCCGCAAGCGGGCTTAGATGAGGAGGTTAAAAGAAGCTTCTGGGAGAGGCTGGACGAGATGGTGCGTGTCGTGCCGCTTGCGGATAAGTTATTCATAGGAGGGGATTTCAATGGGCATATAGGGTCGTCTGTTGATGGATATGGCGAGGTGCATGGTGGCTTCGGCTTTGGGGATAGGAACGGAGGAGGTACCTCACTGTTGGATTTTGCTAGAGCTTTTGAGTTGGTGATCGCGAACTCTAGTTTTCCGAAGAGGGAGGAGCATTTGGTTATTTTTCGGATTACGGTGGCTAAGACTCAGATTGATTACCTCCTACTCAGGAGATGTGATAGGCGGCTGTGTGTGGATTGCAAGGTTATCCCGAGTGAGACTCTCGCGACACAACATAGACTCTTGGTGATGGACGTCGGTATATTATTAAGGAGGAAGAAGAGGTTTGTCCAGGGTCAACCGAGGATCAGGTGGGGAGCCTTGACGAGGGATAAAACTCAGGAGTTGGAGGGGAGGTTGATGGTTATGGGCGCCTGGAGGAGTAGCGGGGACGCTAGCGAGATGTGGACAGCTACTGCAGACTGTATAAGAAAGGCGGCGAGAGAGGTACTAGGGGTCTCGAAGGGTTACTATGGCGGGCACCAAGGCGACTCGTGGTGGAATGATGTGGTCCAAGGTAAAGTGGAAGCAAAGAAAGCAGTGTATCTTAGGTTAGTGAAGAGCACAAACGAGGAAGAGAGGAGAGTGAATAGAGGAAGATATAAGGAAGCCAGGAAGTAGGCGAAGTTAGCGGTCACGGAGGCTAAGGATGCAGCGTTTGGTCGTATGTACGATGAGTTGGGGGACAAAGGAGGGGAGAAGAAGCTATTTCGGCTGGCCAAGGCTAGAGGGAGGAAGGCTCGTGACCTGGATCAAGTGAGGTGCATCAAGGACGAGGAAGGCAGAGTATTGACGAAAGATGCCCAGATTAAGCGGAGATGGCAGGATTACTTCTATCGGCTTATGAATAAAGAAGGGGACAGATACATTGTGCTAGGGGAATTAGGTCACTCTGTGAGTCACCAAGACTTCAGGTATTGTAGGCGTATTAAGGTTAAGGAGGTCGTGGGAGCTATGCGCAAGATGAGTAGGGGCCGAGCGACCGGACCGGACGAAATTCCGGTGGAATTGTGGAGGTGTATGGGTAGAGCAGGCTTGGAATGGTTGACTGCGCTATTTAATGTTATCTTCAGGACAAAGAGGATGCCAGATGAATGAAGGTGGAGTACGATGATACCGCTGTTCAAGAACAAAGGTGACATCCAGAATTGTAATAACTATAGGGGCATCAAGTTACTAAGTCATACCATGAAAGTTTAGGAGAGGGTGGTGGAAGGAAGGGTGAGGAGGGCAGTGTCTATATCCGACAACCAATTCGGATTCATGCCGGGTCGGTCCACTACGGAAGCTGTCCACCTTATCAGGAGGTTGATGGAACAGTACAAGGATAGGAAAAAGGATTTGCACATGGTGCTTATTGACCTAGAGAAAGCGTATGACAAGGTTCCTAGGGAGGTTCTTTGAAGATGCCTGGAGGGGAAAGGTGTGCCGGTAGCTTATATTAGGGTATTAAAGGACATGTATGAGGGAGCTAAGACTCGGGTTAGGACTGTGGGAGGTGACTCGGAGCACTTTCCGGTTGTTAAGGGGTTGCACCAAGGGTCTGCACTCAGCCCGTTCTTATTTGTCCTGGTAATGGATGCGCTAACATACCATATTCAAGGGGAGGTGTCAGGGTGTATGTTGTTCGCTAATGATATAGTACTGATTGATGAGACGCGAAGCGACGTTAATGAGAGGCTGGAGATTTGGAGACAGACCCTTGAGGTTAAAGGTTTCAAGTTGAGTAGGACTAAGACAGAATATCTGGAGTGTAAGTTCAGCGATGAGTCGGGAGAAGCGGACATGGATGTGAGGCTTGACTCTCGAGTCATCCCTAAGAGAGGGAATTTCAAGTACCTTGGATCAATTATTCAGGGGGATGGGGAGATAGACGAGGATGCCACGCACCGTATAGGAGTTGGGTGGATGAAATGGAGGTTAGCATCTGGAGTCCTGTGTGACAAGAAAGTGCCACCGAAACTCAAAGGCAAGTTCTATAGAGCGGTGGTTAGACCGACAATGTTGTATTGGGCTGAGTGTTGGGCAACCAAGAATTCTCATACCCTGAAGATGAAAGTGGCAGAAATGAGAATGTTGAGATGGATGTGCGGGCACACTAGGCTGGATAAGATTAGGAATGTAGATATTCGGGAGAAGGTGGGTGTGGATCCCATGGACGATAAGATGCGGGAAGCGAGGCTTAGATGGTTCGGGCACGTGCGGGGGAGAAGCATAGATGCCCCGGTTAGGAGGTGTGAGACGTTAGCATTGGCAGGTACGAGGAGAGGTAGAGGACGACCTAAGAAGTATTGGGATGAGGTGATTAGGCAAGACATGGCACGACTTCATCCGAGGACATGGCTCTGGATAGGAAGGGATGGAGGTCGAGCATTAGGGTTGTAGGTTAGGGTTGTTCCGGGGGCGGGGCTGGCCTGTTGTTGTTTCGTTGTGGGTTGTTAGTGGTTTGTGTAGTTTTCTCACTATTTTCTATGATAGTATTGTTGTTTATAGTTATTGCTTTTACATCTATTTTTCTATTTCTTACGATGTTGTTAATATTTTTTATCTTCTCTTGCTGTCAGTGACCTATTGTCTATTGTTTATTTTTCTTCTTCCCGAGCCGAGGATCTTTCAGAAACAATCTCTCTACCCCTCTGGGGTAGGGGTAAGGTGTGCGTACACTCTACCCTCCCCAGACCCCACTTGTGAGATTATACTAGGTTGTTGTTGTTGTCACATCAAAGTAGAAGAAAGATATGCCAGAAACAGAATGAGTCGTCACTTGGCCGGCACACAGAAACGTTATAGAAATAATACCAGTCATAGTCATTCTTGTCATTCTCAGAGTTTAGAAGATAATCTTGATTAGCAGGCTCTGTTGATGCCCCATTTGATAACAAAGAGAAGTCAACCTCTGAGCCTGCAATTAATAAAAATGTCAAATTTTATACATATAAGAAGTGAAAACAAAGAAAACTTCCAAGACCATACTCCAAATTTTCAAAGTTGGTTGTACTCAAGATTTAAAATTAAAGAACATGCATTTAATATGAATGTGGTTAAGTGGGGATGGGAAGAACCACCAAATGGCAGAGTACATTTATTTTATTCTATTTCTGGAAAATTTTTGAAAGCAGAAATTGACAATGCTGCAAAAAAGCATCTAGATACCTAATTGCTGATCCAATTCCTCAGAGTTGTGTGTAGGAATTTGATCATTCATCTCCTTTTCGCTACGGCGCATCTCAAGAAACATTGCAAGGTCTTCATCTACTTCCCTCATCACCATTCCTAAAGTCCTTTCTTGTAGCCTACATTGCACTGATGTCTGCATTTGCATATAAAAACTCATTTAAATTTCCAATGATCTTATCTTTAAGTAAGAAAACAAATCAAAATAGTAACTCATTAAAAGTCCAGAAATCCATTCTTTAGCAAAGAAAACAAATCAAAATAACTCATTTAAAAGTCCAAAAATCCAATCTTTAACAAAGAAAACAAACAAAAATCAAATCTTTACATTGAAAACGATTAAAGAGCTTGCTAAAGGATCTATTTTTAAATGAAAAATATGCACATAGATTCAGAAAAAAGAGCAACACCCAGAAATTTAAATGCCTAAAAAACAACCTATTTTCACCCAAAAAACACATTTCTTCAACATAGTGAAAAACAAAAATATTCAGTTAGATCATTGGATCTGACTTGCAAAATGGACCCAATGACATAAACCAACCATCTTAATTACATAAAATACCATAAAAGCTTACATCTTTACTATCAAAAAACCTTCAGCTCATTTCTGATTAACTCACCACCCCCTCAAGAAAAATAAAAGAGAAAGTTAAAGGATACAACTAAATTTAACTGACCCTTTTGAGATACATACATATATTTCAAGATTCAATAACCATATAGACATTGCACCAGGAAAAATAAAATCTTGAAATAATTAAATACTTACTGCCATTGTAACAAGAATAGAGTTGAAGGTTGTATTAATGGATTCAAAAGCTCAGAGGGAAGAAACAAAAGGGAGAATAAAAAAGAAAAAAAAAAGAAATAAAGGGGGTCAAATGGCAGCTAGTATAAGTTCAGAAAAATGTCAGAGAGAAGTGAGATGGTGAGCTAGAAGTGTGGGGGGTCTAAAGTTAAAGAAAACTTAGAACATGAATGAAATCAAATTTGTTTGTTGGATTCTGCTTTGATAAGTAAGTCACAGTCTGTTTTATTATGTGATGTGCACAAAAAACAGCAAACCCAAGAGAGAAGTAGAGTTTGAAATCAATACAATAACTTTCTATTTCATCCTAATTTGTCCAACCGAGTTGGTATAACTACTAACTTGCCCTTTCTTTATTTTCTGCTCCACTTTTATTCAAAAATTAAATTTATATTATGTATTTTGAATTTTATTTTTCATAATCGCTATGTTGCTCAGATTTTTGGAAAATCCATTTTATTCTTGTTGAATCTTCCAAAATTATGTATTATTTTTTTTAGAATCTGACACTGAGTGTGATAATATTTTGAAGTAAACGAATAACATAGCATAATTGAAATGATTCAACAAAAATAGTAAACCCTTCTAGCAATTTTGGACCCTTTAAGAAAATTGTTTGGTATTTGAAATATATTAGCTCTATTAACTCAGATTCANTATTAATTCAGATTCGTCAGCTACGGCCATTAAAGAGATTCGAACTCGCAAAAGAAAATTAAGAGTTAAAGGATTATATCCGTCCAATTATATCTTTGCATTTGTTTATTATTAATTATTTTAAGTCAATGCGAGCATTCATATATCATTATAAGTTGCCACCTATTATGTTCGTAACCAACTTTCTTAGTTGGTATGTCAATTTTTTTTAATTCTATTTGGAAATTACTTACCAATCTTTAATTAGATCAAAAGATTACTACTTAATTTTGTTACTTGAAAATAAAGTAAAGAGATCTAGGAATGGAATAAAAATAGTATATGGTAACTCTTTTAAGTATGAGCAAATATGTAAAATTATTAGTTTTTTTACTTGACTAAAATTTTAAATTAGTTCTGGAAGTAGTTTTTCAAAAGGTAAAATTAATGTACATGATTACAACTTTATATTTACGTAAAACTAATGAATGCAAAATATATATCTTTCATACACATATTTATCACTTAATCATATAGTTTCACTTTAATTTTCAAAAATTAAATTATTCAATTTAGTAAAAACAACGAATGTACGTAATCTTTACCCTTTTTGAAAAGGGAACACGAAATCTTTGTGTTAGTTCATTCACAATGCAATAAATGCCGCTTGAAAGTGATGTTTTACTTTTTCTTAAACCAAATTTTTTCGTTATATATGCATTCAAACGCTGATTTAAAACGAATTTTAGTGATTCAATGGAATACATTACTTTTTTGATATACAATTTTGTTTGCAACCTTTGGTCCAAAACAAATGAAATCACATGAAATCAGGCACAGAAACTGCATTTACATATCATAGCTTTCACTATTAGGCCTTTATAGTTTTTGAAATAATTGCTTTTGTGACCTTTTTGCCAAAACTAGGTAAAATCTAGGTATTAGGTGCATAATTGAAGAGGATCATTTCATAATCATATTCTAACTTTTTGCAATTGTAGTACTAAGTCATTTTTCAAAGTGAATAAAGAGCATTTGTCAATATCTTTTACTTTGTGGGGTAACCATTTATTCCTTTGCACATGTTTGGGACAGACGTTTCTTACTTTAGTAATTTTTGATTGATTCATTTCATAACACAATTTTATCTCCTACACTTTTTGTTCTTTTTGCCTGTGCCATTGTTTTTACCTAACTCTTAATATTCTTATTGTCTTAAAAACCCTTTTCCTTTTGATATTATCAAACAATAAGAAAATTATTAAATTATAAAAGATAATCTTAATAAGAAGAGCAAAAGTAAAAGATCGAAGTTTATCATCCGAATATTTTTAAGAAGGAAAATGCTAAAATTCTTCTCTAGTATCACTGCAGCATGAAACTAGAACTCGCCCGCAATTATATTTGGACATGCTTTTCACTTAAAAAGTATCGCAGTTTTGTGAGTGAGGAAAGAAAAATTTCTGAAAAATTTGAAAAATTTATTTTCGAATTTTTTTCAAAAACTTACAAAATTTTATGGACAAACACATTTTTGAAAAAAAAAAAGAAATTTATGGAACACAGGGCCTAAAAGGTCTGAATTTCAAACAACCAGTATAGAAAAGGAAAAAAAATGGTTTCATTTTAACGATTGAAACTACTAATTTTCTTTTTTCTGTAAAGGCTCTTTGTTTGGTTTTGGGGATGGGGTGTGTGTGTGGTTG